GAGAGAGAGAGAGAGAGAGAGAGAGAGAGAGAGAGAGAGAGAGAGAGAGAGATTGACGACACTTGGGATTTGGACTCGACATTGGGCAGAGACATTGGGGGGACTGTTTGGGATTGATATCAGCGACATTTGGGTTGACGGCATTCTCATCTCTTCCCCCTCCTCCTCATCTGTGTATGAGTTAGGCCTGGCACCTTCGTCCTGGAGTGCAGTGCCAGGCCATTCACACCATGTGATGATGATGATGTATGTTGCGTCTGCATTTCGACAGTGATTGGGTCAGATCATTTGTATTCTAGCCTTCCGCTGTGCTATCCTGTTCTATCTGTGAGAGGTCGGTTCTTGGTTCTGGTCTGTATCATCTTGGTATGTGACACATGAGTGCCTTTGGGGGGGGAGGAGCCTAGCCGTTGACCGGGGTCCGGAGGAGGGCTCTGTCTATTCATTGGCGACAGATTAGGAGGGAGCATAGTGTCGCCCCTCCGCTGTGTCGAGGCGGGGTTCCTCTATATAAACCATTACAAAAATACTACCTAGTCAAGGGAGGTCTATCAGGGGGTTTCTGCTCTTGCATGGCTTAGACTCTAGGGCACCGTAGGGATATAAGTAGCTCCGGCTAGTCCGAGTTCCGTCTAGCCTTGGGTAAGTTAGGGGAAGGACGGTAGGATGTGTCCATGGGCGCCTCAGCTTGCCTTGCCTAGGTGCTTCTGCCAGCTTATCGGGTACTCTCTGACTACTGGGGCCTGTAGAAGATTGCATGAGCCTGGCGTCCGAAGTTCCTGTACGGCAAGGTTCGTCCGGCATGGTTCGTCCGCTTCCGTTTCCACTAGGGCTGGGTCCTGCCCAGCCCTGGTGCTTGTCACTGCTATTCGGTCCAAAGTTGTTCTCGATACCGATAGGGTGATGGTCCTGAGTGCTGGCCACACTGAGGTAGGATAGTAGGGATAGGGGGTGCGCTATGAGTATTGATGTGAGGATGGGTTGGGAGGTGGCCCCACCCTGTCAGGACAACCATTGGCTGCCCGCTTCCAGCAATCACCGTGTGTCTGGTCATAGGCCTCTACAACACCCTGGGCCTTTTTTCTTTTGTTTAAATAAAACAGAAAAGTACATAGGGGCGACACATTTTGCAATGCGGAGTTTTCGCTTTTTGTGAGGTGGTCGCGGGTTCAAGCTGCATGTTTCCACTTTTCTTTGGTTCTGCGCCATGTATGGATACAAGTACACAAGGGGAGCATTTGCTGTCTCGGCTCCATTAGTTGGTGCCCTCTAGTGTTCTGGCGCCTGTTTGAAAACGAGCACATAGTAGTAGGCCATCATGCGTTTGTTTGAATATGAGCACATACCTGAAGGCCATTATGCGACTGTTCAAGTACAAGTACATAGCAGACTACTAGCAGACCCGCGTGGATGGTGAAGACACGAGAGTCTTAGTGACCAGGCCTGGTTGCCGGCCACGTGAAGCCGGTAGGGTCGTCCTCTCGGCGGGAACGTTAGTTTTCGCCATAGCTGTGCTTGATGCTAACCTTTTGCCATTAGTCACGTTCGGGGATTATTCGCGTTTATCCCGTTGTTGGGAGAAAACCCGGGGAGGGGCTACCTACCGTTCGCTGAAGCCATGGGCTACGGCGCCTGTCACTTCGCCGCGCCCGCTTCCGAGGTCCTCGGCGACCAGTAGGGATGATATCCACAAGTTTACAGAAATTGGTTTTAGGAAATAAACAGCGATAGTAAATAAATAAAAGAATAGCAAAGTCAAAACTAGAATTCTCTCTCAATCTGTCTCTCACTGTGTGTGTGTGTGTGTGTGCGTGCGTGCGTGTCTGCTTGCGTGTGTGTTATGTGTGGGCGCACTTCTACCAC